GCAATGCCAGAAAAATGCAAGTTATAGTAACGTGACATCTATTTGGGGAGGAAAAAAACCCACCTTTGGGCTTCTCTCTTTTATCACTAGAGGGACCGCTTCCTCTTTAAAAGCAAAAGTTACCTGACTCCATTGAAGGGATTGTATAGATTTACAGAGCTATCCTTTCGTTGGCACTGTAAGCTGACTTGTCCACATTTAGAGAGTGGTAAAAGATAAACGGGACAACAAAGAACTTGTACAGTATGAACTTAGGTGGGAAAAGTATTAATCACAAACAAAATGCTTAACAGTAAGGAAGAGGTAAAATACAGGTAGCTTGTCCCTTGAGGAGTTGTCGTAGATCACAAAACTTTGTAAGACTGCAACATGCAAAGTGATGGAGTAGGAAGTGAAGGTCTAAATGGAATTCACCATACCGAAAAACACAGAAGCAGGAGATAAGCAGTGTGTCCTTAGATATAATGACAGTAAGGAAATGTAGCCACTAGCATGCTGACAATATTGCTTCAGCATAAATACTTCATGTAAGTGACCCCATGAGGAAAGTCATGTTATTAAAGCGAGCAATGACTGAGCTACAGGAGACAAAGCTTTAAGGATGGTGGTGAAGGGGAACTGGTGGCGAAAACTCAAGAGAATGTAACAGTCTGGCAGTGCATGTTAGCTGGCTGTTGTCTCTCATATGTCAACAGCTGCTAGCTGCACTCCATATTGTTTCATTCAAAAACATCATGGAAAACTCAGAAGTGGCATCTTGATATGGAACAAGCAGAAATCAGTTACCTAATGCTTCCCTGTGGCTGCTAACAGCAGCATTCAGGCAAGTAAATGTTTTATGTTTTGTTTTGTATTAAGAGTTATTTTGAGTTATTTCAGACCAGTTTTGAAGAAATAAAGTGAAGGCTTAAAATATAGTATTCACTGACTTCTATACAAAGTGTCTAACTCAGTAGCTCCTTGCCAGTGTGACTTTAAAGAACTTTTGATCAAAATGGATGTGGGAGCTAAAATCTTACCTCCACCCAGCCTGAATCCATAAGCTTCAATCCTGGGATCTTTATGCATCCTCCCTTACGTGGCTGTAAATGGAGGTGTGCAGTGGCTCATAACCTACAGTCAAGTTGCACTGTGGAGTAACTAATAATTCTAATTCCAAAATAACCTAAACCTGACTATACTGAACCAGATTCTGAGCTCATCTAGACTAATGGCAGGGTTGCAACACTGACCGTAAACAAATGCCCAGCTGAGAAAAGGACAGAGGTAAGTATGATACTAATTAACTTGTGGAGGTAACATACTATACTGGTACTTGTTCAAGTTGTTCAAATGGTGGTTTAAGACAAGAAACTGTTTACAACACTATTCAGTTCCTTCTGTACAGTCTGATTCTAGTCACACTCCACATAGGTTTTATACTGTTACACTAATTCAGGTCTTGCTGAATCAGAAACTTATCTGCGACATTTATTTCATGACAGTACATTCTGTTTGAACTTTTATATATACACGTAGGAAACATGAAACTTAAAACAGATAAATAATGCTGGATTTGGTAGAAAATAAAAGACGTTTCCATATTATATCAGAAGACATCTCACTCTGCAAGGACTCTGTGTCTGGTAGGCAGTGCTTTGCTAGTTGGCTGCTGTACCTGGATGTAGCAGTCACTGCTGCACTGCCACCTGCTGCAGGGCTGGCGCACCGCTGTTTAGAGGCAACTCCTTTGGAAGGTGCTAGGATTCTGTTTCCAGGAACGCGGGCTGCGCATCTGTGTGTGATGGGATGGCAGTGTATGTTAGCTGGTTGAAATTCTGACATCAGCTAACATGCAGTTGCTCTCTTTTACCACATACCTTGGTCATCAAAAGGGAGAGCTACTACTTTTGTACAAGAAATTTTCTGGATCCTCCTAATTACTGTCTTGTTTTGTTTGTTTGTTTGTGGGTTTTTGTTTGGTTGGTTTTTTGTTTTTGTTGACTGTCAACCTCATTTCTGGTATTGTAGTGGTATCTTGTATTTCCATTATCTGCCATTATTCAAAGAACTGTGAGAATTTTTGGTTGATTTAGACTCTGGCTTTCAACAGCTTTCAGATACCAAGGTAACAGGAAGTTTATAAATACTTGAAACAGGTAAATAATTCAAATGTTTTGAATAATTTTGAGCTCTGGGAGTTTTCTTAAAGCAAAAGCAGCACAGTTAAAAACTTCACAGGGTGAACCTACTGCTGTGTGTGGTGATTAGGCAGTGTATTGTTAGTTAGCTGTTCTTCACACACCAGCAACTGACTACACTGCCACATTAGCACATCATTGTTGAGACAAGAATACAAACACTGTTATAAATATCTCATGAGATCCTTAGCTGGTATGAGGTCCAATGCCTGCCTATTTCCCCTGACTGAAAGGAGCTGTGCTATGTTATGCAGACTGAGTGAAGATACGGTATAAAAGTAAGTGTGACTGAGGGTATAAAACTAAATGTAACTGTATTTCACACATTTATGCAGGTAACCTAACTGGCTTCTAAAGAATCTACTCAATTATGAAACTATTAAGTAAGATTTCAGGTTTGAATCCCATATGAATATGTTTCTCTTACACCACTCAGTGTTTAAAGGAGCATTGATGTGTTGGCTCAGCAAACAAGTATTTTGTGGCAGTACGTGAAGGAACAGGAACATGTCCTTACTGAATATCACCTAGTGGTGACTGAATATCACCTAGTGGTGATTTAGAATATTTGCACTCCCATATAATCTCGAGAAGCTCACAGTTAAGTGGTATCTGTTTGAGAAAATAAAGATATGTCAGGCCTAAGGAGTGAAGGAAGGATGAGATAGGAATGAAGGGTTAGGATGAAGGATGTAATAGGTTAGGTTATGAAGAAATGATGATGACATAACTTTAACACTCATGGACTGAACTCAGTTAACTGTCTTAGGAGGGTGGTTTTATCTTAAATTGGTAGGATTATTAAGGAATCCAAGAAATAAGTTTCAATCTGTCCACAGTTTTGGAGTTTATATTTTTTATATGCTCTATTTTAAATTAACAGTAAGTGGATATTTATATGAACAGGTATTCATATTACTTTCTTGGCTTTTGACTATAGGTAAGTATGAGCTTGTATAACAGTGTTCTAATTTTCATTTTATTTATTTGCCTTTCCAAGTCTATGTAGATTTGTCCATTAAAGATGCTTTATTTTTACCCCAGAAGAAAGAAATTATTAGTTTATCATTGATCTGCCCTAAATGTTGTATTGGAAGAGCTGACATGTCTCATGACGTATAAGTAATACAAATACATTGAGTTTTTGGATGAATGCTAATTAACAGTAAATTTTGAAAAACTTAAATTGTGTAGATTCAGGACAGAATGGTACCTATATTCAAATTTCTACAGAAGATAGTTGTAGTGGATTGTGACCAAATAGTGAAATGAGAAATTTCATGACTGTGTTGTCAGACAAAACACTCTTTTTCTAGGACTCCTGAGTAAACTTAATTCAGGTAGGAGTGAGTTAAATAATTCTGTCCAGTCATTGGCTAATATCACATGCTATTTCTGAATACCAGGAAAGACATTTGATCTTAATGCTGGCATTGGGATATTTAAGATTACGCTGTCTCCTTTAGTGAGTGAGTCACAAGCAAGGTGTGCACATTCCCTTCCCTCCTGATCCTTTCCAAACTAGAAAATGATACTGCTCTGTTTATCCTTCGTAGGGTATTTTAGGAACCCAAATGAAATTTCCCACGTGCTGAATAACTCTAAGGCAATACCAGGACTAAAACAGACCTTTTTTTAGGTGTTACAGTGCCCAACATTTCTTTATACCTATACCCTTTTTTATTCAGTCATACAAAAACCAGGGAACTATAGGAGTACACAAGAGTGGACACACATATTTTAGATGTGAGCATTTTCAAGTTAAGATATTCAATCCTTCATAGGAAAAGCATTTTGTTCTTCCACTCAGTTCCATGGAATGTAGATTGCTCCCAGTGAGGGGAGACAGTCCTTATCTGAATTCCCTTTCTGCTCCATCAAAGCAGCAGAGACATGAGACAAAAATCACCTGACATGTTCCACTAAATGTTCTCAAGGCTGCAACAGCACATGCTGGAGGAGACTGGAGTAAAATACAGAACCCCAGCCTAAGAACAGGAACTGTCTTGACATATTTGATGTGGAATCTTGTGGGATAATGGCAAATAGCTCACAGGCTGGTCTAAAACAACAGCAGCAGGCTGATTTCAACTAATGAAACCTTTTGTATAATCCTTAGCTGATCTCTGAAAGTTAGAGTGGCCAAAATTGCCAAGGTTTGAGTTCTGTTCCAAAATTATCTTTGTCACTATTGATGAATCTTTGATGTCACTTTGTTGAATCTTTCACATCAGTATCATTACTCAATCTTTTAAAACATTTTAATGTCCTTATTCTTCAGAGTTTGTTGTTTTTTGTTTTTTTTTTTTTGGTGTGAAATTGTCAATTAATTCAATACCTTTTTTTTTAAAATTGCTTTTAAATTTCTCGCCTTTTTAATACAGTTAAGTGGTTATCTTTATTAGAAAAAGTTTTGAAGCACTTTAGTTATTTTCAGTTAGTTTTACAAGACGACTGCACTAATGCTATCCATCCTTCTCATGTAGAAAACTCTTCCGAGACATAGGTTTCTCTCATTTCTATTCTCTCACCCCTCCATTAGGACTTGGACATCTGGAGTGACATTTCTTATTCAAATTTACTATCTCCCTTTTTCAAACAGATAAATCAAAAGACTTGTCAGTTTGTAATAGAACAGTGGAACAGAACTGGCAATGGGTTTGCAGTTACATGTAGGACTGGGGAGACTGCAAGGTGAGAGGAGTGGAGCTTGAACCGTGAACCTTCTCCTCTTTCTTCTACCTCTGCATGAAGACTGTTTTTTTATTCTAAAGATGGGAGGTAGGTAGGCACATGGCTGGGGAGTATTGTCTTGGACAGCCTCAGAAAGACATCTGTGAGAGTCCCAGACTCCTGATTTTCATTGCACCTTGAATCCTTCTGTAAGCAACCATGTATATTCACACAGGCCCTGCCTTCACCCAGGTCAGAAAACCAGGAATCCAATAGGAGAGGAGCTCACAGTCAAGGCACAGTACCTTGGTGCAAATGTATAGAGACGGCTAAAGAGTTAAAGGGAGTTGCTCTAAAGGTGAAAGGTAAAGTGAATCAAAACATAAAGCAGGTGAGAAAACATTTCTGCAATTTTTTCTTTTACATTTATCATTCTCTATGTACAGTTTTTTTACAGCTGACAGCTTCACAATTCCGTAGTCTTCATCGAGAGAATGCTGCAAAGCTAGTCTCTTCAGTTACATTTGCCTCTAAAGACCCTGCCATGGATGCCTCTGGGCTCCATATGCTTCAGACAGGGCAAGTATGTGTTAATGGAATATCAAAATCTGTTTGTTACTGGTAGATGGGAAAGAAACCTGTGCAAATACTGAGTAATTTATTAATAATCTTCTTTCCAGCTTTCTCTCTGCTGATGACAATTGAATTAGCAATTATCAGCAATTAAAAAAAAAACCCACATTCAGAAACCTTATGTAGATTGAAGGTCCATCCTGCAAGGTACTTAGTGCCTTGCCATCTCAGTAAACTCAGTCCTTCTCAAGGCTATTGCAGGGGCAAATCCAGCATTAATAGACATATTACCAACCATATTGGTTGCAAATACCAACACTAAAGAGTAGTAAAATCACCTGATGGTTTAGCTTCTAGCAACATTTCCCGGGAATGTACAAAGGCTGTGTATCCATGCTATTGAATAGATTCACAGTATAAATGGCTTTTTCAGAGGTCCTCTCTTTTTTTCATGATAATCTGCCTGATTAATGCTGCTACTTCTGGCTTGATACTTTGCACTGGCTCTTCAGGTCTCCAGAATTTCACAACTTTACCCTCAGGGCTAACAAGGTACTTCCAGAAATTCCATCGAGGCTCTTTCTTTGAAGAATCTGTAAGGATGGCATCAGATTGTTTTAGCGAGTTACACTTGTAATTGTTTCAATGCCCTGAACTGATTCTTCAGCTTCTTATGCAGATGTAATCACACCTTGTTCTTTGCTAGTAGTCTGGGCATGGTTTACTAGTTGCTGTTAATGATCGGAAAAGTGGGAAGTGAATGATGCTCCACATCCATATTTATGCTGCCAGTGGACTCCTTTTGTGCTAGACTATCTGACAGTGCTGGGCAAATTGTAGCTAGCAGTAAGAGGCACAAGAAGGTGCTGTAGCATGAAGGTGTTCAACCTTCTGATTGTCAAGACAGCTACCTGAAGAAAGCAGGTGCTTCTCTTATTGAAGATGCAGGGAATGAAGGAAAAGAAAGGCTTTATTTAAAAATACTGAAGTGTCAGAAGATCTTTCTCCTTCCTGTCAGTGAACAGCACATCAAATAAAATAATGCTGAGTAAACATTTTTTTCTTTATAGATATTGATGTCTAACACTGATTGGACTGATATTTAGAATCTGGTTTCATTCTATGCAGCTGTAACCTGCATGCTCTAGTCTCCTCTATAAAAAACTGAGAGAGCACTCAATAATTCCACTGGACCTCAGGCAACTCAGGTCAACAAGAGTTGAGGTCAACAAGGTTTACTGAGTTTTTGGTATCTTGCTTAAGAGGAGGTAGGAAGAAACACAGTTACAATGACAGTGGTGAAACATAAATGACTCCTAAATAATAATAATTTTCAAGTACATAAGAGGTATCACAGAGAATATGGCAAGAAGAAAATACTTAAGTGTTGTAAGAAAGATTTAATTTAGATATTTAAGTAGTTTTCTGACAAGAGGAGCTGTGAAAAACTGAAATAGGCTGTGAGGTTTTGGAATCTCTCATATGACTACTGAAATAGTCTGGATAAACTTGGGTAACTGTGATCCTGTCTTGGGTCAAGGAGACAGAACAGGTTTGGGCTTCCTCTTATATTTTTTCTAGTTAAAATGGTGTGTTGGAGAATGGTTATGTTCTAAGTATCCTTTCTTTAATATATCAGTGTTAAGCATGGGTCAAAGACCTGGCCAAAGCTCAGGATAATTCAGAAAGGCTTTTCAAGCTGGCTTTGGGTCTATGAGCTCTTTGGTCAACTGAAGAAAGTTTCACTTTGCTTGTGAGAATATGAGGCCCTAAGTCAGTAAGTGCTCTCTGTAATGGAGGTATTTGTATGAGTGGGTTTTGCATGCTGGGCCCAAATTAACACAAATCAGTGATTATATATAACTACAGTATATATAATCCTGCTTCACAATACAGTTTACATAAAGGTGGACACAGGCCTCTGCTAAAAAAATGAATCTGCATATGTTTATTTAAAATCTTTCTGTGATTTTTAGGACCATCCATAATTATATTTTTGTCCACAAGAAAAGCTGCTTTTCAATAAAAATCACGTAACTTGAAATGGGATCTTGTAGATGGGAATCTTTGCACTCAAGTTCGTGCATGCACAAAATGGATGTTTTTAGCTGGGCTGGTTACAGGAGGCTGTTTTTATGATCAGTGAGGAGAAACTGATTTTTTCACGATACAACACTTCTGCCCATATTTTTTATATTCAGATTGAAATGAGATGAATTGTATGCTTGGTGCCTGTTTCTCTCCATGAGCAGAGAAGTTTGAAGAGTTCAATGTTTCCTGACAAACAAACTCAGATTGGAATTCAGTGAGAATACCATGGTTACAGGCAGCTTGATATATAAAAGAAAACAGTTACCTATTAGAAATTTAAAGGCAGGATCTGCTTCCGATCCTAGGATCTTGATTTTGTGGAAAACGGGGAAGGTTACTCCATAGTTTCCTTTTGCAAAAGATTCTATTTCCGGGCTTGAACTAGGCTCTGATTCTCCAAACTGGTTGCAGGGAAATGCCAGCACAGTGAAGTGGGAGGGACCAAACTCTCTGTGTAGCTCTTGCAGTGCGATGTAATTTTTGTGTGTGTTTTGGCAGTAACTGGCCACGTTTACAACTAAAGTTGCCTTCAGAGAAATAAAGTTAGAATAGTAAGAAAAAATCCTATAAATAGTGTAGAGATTATAATTAAATTTTAAAATTGCATTTCTCATTACTATGATGGTTCCTGTCAGAAAGCTAAATTTAATCTGTCTGATCATCATTTCATTAAACAGATAGTGATGAAAGCAGCTGAAGATATTACATTCAGAGAATCTGTTACAAAAAATTCAATAAATAGACAAACTTCAGCTTGCAGCTTTGTTTAAATATAAACATTAAAAAAAGAAGGTATTTAGGACTTGCACTAAAATCATATTTACTAGATCAACTTCCAGAATTCAACACAACATGCTATCATTCTTAACTAAAAATAAAATCCACAAATTTTCCTGTTAGGCTATAATGATCTATACTAAATAATATGAATTTGTTTTTCTTGGTTTATTAGATCTACTACTAAATTCCTGGAGCAGATCTAGAAAAAAAAATGTTTATCCAGCTTACTGTTTAAAGAATAGGAATTTATTACAAAAATCTCTGCTAAAAATTCCCATAACACTTTATTTACCTAAAAATGTACACTTTTTTTTTGTCAGTAACGATTCAAGACAGATAAAATGAAACAAAAACTTACTTTCCCTCTGTACTTCTCCAAGGAAATGTTCCTTCCTCGTGAATCTTTGACTTCAAAAGAATAAAAATCTTTGATTTTAGGTTTAAAAATTCTGAGTTGTAGCAGGCAGAGAATGGTGGTACACAAAACCACTGACAGAAAGACCACAACGACCCTGGCTTTGGGTACTGAGTATTTCAGAGGATAAGTAGTTGTAAAAGGCTCCATTTTTGAAATCTTTGGAGGAGAGCCTGGGCAGGCCTGGAATGTGAAGGAGGAGCTGAAATATGAAACTCGCATCTCAGACGGAAAGAGCAAGCTGCTCATTTTTGTCTCTGTTGCCGAAACAGCTGTTCAAGATCACAGTGCCTGCTGGGCTTCAGAGCACAGAGATCAATCTGGGTGAAAAAAAAGAAGAAATGAATAAAAAGGATCTTCCCATCACCTAAGGATGCTGATTGCTCTGTTTAACTGACTTGTGTGGGATATTCCAGTGTTCGTCTGCACGGTCTTGAGAGCTGCTGGGACCTCTTGTGGGTTTGTAGTACAGCTCTAGCACAACCTCTGGGCTCCTCTGGCGCCTCTGGCAGTGTTGTTCTGCAAGGAGGCAGCTATGCTGTCAAACAGACCTGGAGAAGCAGCCTGGGGGCCAGTTGTTCAGGCAGAAGGAAGGGAGGATGGCTGAAATCACCCTGTTCACAGACTCAGCCCTGCATCTCATCAGCTGCTGTGAGATCACAGGCAGCTTCGTTTGCTTAGAAGCAACTGAGCCAGCACGCATGGCACAGCACCACTACAAACAGCGTGAAGGGACAGAATGATGATAGATATGGGCTGCTTTCTTAATTGCTACTGGCTAACTGGCAGTATGAGATGATAGTTACTGGCATCTTACTGCTGAGATGGTAAGATTGAAGGTCTACATGAGAGAAGAAGGAGTTAGCTGAGAATATCAGGTGTAAGCCAAGCAGCTCCACTGTTGTTTTGCTGAGTCAATTGTGCAAGACTCTCTGAATTTCAGAGCCACACGTCTGGTGTTTTATCTGTCTTCATTTTACAGATTCTTGCCTGTTGATCCTGGTTTCTAAGGGTGCATCAACATGTAGTGGTTACAATTCAGTTATACAAAACCCCAAAATTGCCTCTGTCTTTCATCTTGTCTTCATCTGATCAGTTCTCCCCTCTTTCTGTCCACTTGGTATTCTCCTCTTCCTTTCAGCTTTCAGGATTTTATTTTGTCCTCTTCACATTTCTATTCTTCTGGGCTTTTCTATGCTCTTGCCTGTCTATGCTGCTTGTCAGTGTCTGCTTGCTTTCTTTCCCTCCTAACTTTCCAAACCACCATTGAAGAGTGATTTCTATCTCAGATTTTTTTCTTATCACCCTGTTTTTTTGCTGCACTTAGATGCTACATTTAAAGGACGAATATAGAACATAACTTTCTGAATGTAGAACCTGGAATCTGGTGGTTCTTTCTTTTCAGTGACTTCAGTATCACTATGAGAATCATTGATTTGTACAAGTTTATAGTGGCCTGTTCGATCATTTCTACAATTTCTAAGTAGCTAAAGTCCATGTTAATTTTGTTTAACAAGACTATATGGAGACTTTCACATAGTTCTACATAACAGAGAGATGCTTGGGAAACACTGTGAAATTTCGCTATTTGTATCTGAGGACATGTAATGCTTCATCTCTGCCTGGCAGTAAGGCCTGTGGGAATGGTGTTTTGATGGCTGGGACAGAAAAGACACAGACTTCCATGCTAAAATGAGCAAAGCTGTACTCAACAGGCGAGCACAGGTGACTAATGCTGACTTTAAAAGCAAGTTCGAATGTGTTTGGTTACAGAAAACCCATGCAAGATCATGGTGTCTAAGCTACATCTCAACAGTTTGTAACTTACATCTAATATTATTTCAGAAATAAATAAATAACCCCCCCTTAATATATAATAAATATTTACTCGTGTACCTAATAATTACCTAGAAACCCAGTTGTGCTTTCTGTTTTTACTCTCACCTAAAACATTGCTTAAAATTTGTCTGAGAAACAAAATATGTTATTTACTATTATCTAGGCTTCTACATTTCTGATTTTGTTACATTCTTATGTTTTATATTTTTCTGCCACAAATTGCTCTGGGAATGAATTTGAACAAATGTAAATTAAAAAAATGTAAATCTGTCATTTAGTCTTTACTTAGCATGCCTTACTATATTAAAAAGTGTAAGATAACATTAGAAATAATGACTTGAATAAGCCACAGTGGTGGTGAGAAGGTTCAGAAATCAGAAGATATCTAAATCCTTCTTTGTGTGGAGATCAGAAAACCAGCCTGGTTCTAGGCAGCCAGCATGTGCAGCTTGCCCGGTGTCCATCTCTCAGAAGTGACCAGACCCATGAGCCTATGCTAAATGCATGAAGGTGCCTTGGGTCCTTCAAAGGCCAGTGCTGTAGCTCAGTGCATGAGTGACACAAACTTAGGGTTTTGGTTTTGTTTGTTTGTTTGTTTTCTCTGCCACAGACTTTCTGTGCCACAGTTGATTCAGGTGTACTTATCAGACCAGAAACATTTGTTTCACGCTGTTTCCCCCCCCGCCCCACTCTTTTTTCACCCGTGTGACTGCCGGAGTCGTCCTCAGTCCAGCGTCCGTGGCTGTTGCTCTTAGCTTAGGCTGAGCCTCTGTGGCGCGGCACAGCACAACTATAAATAGCGCGAAGAGGCAGGATGATGTTAATCCATGTCTAATCTCAGTGTTTTGTCTTCTCTTGCAGGTCTCAGGCTCGGGCAGAAACAGATGCTTCCTGTTCAAGCGCTCCCCGTCGGAGCTCCCTCAAGCCTCCCTGCCGGCACACGATGGCAGCAGCCGCCCGCGGTCCCGCCGAGCCCCAGCCCAGCGGCACGGCCCGCGGGGCGCCAGGTCACCAGGCAGGGGAACTAGTTCCTGTGGAGAGAGGATGGCCTCCTGCAGGGGTTTCTGAAACGGCGTGCAGCCGGGAGTTAGTGCGAGCTGAGGGTTGGTGTTTCCCGTCTCACGCTGCCGGGGCTCTAGCAGTGCACGGCTGCAGCAGTCTGCAGGCAGAGCTACAGGTCAGCATCCTGTCAAAGTATTTTTCTTTTTTTTTGTTGTGTTTTTTTTACGTTGAGGTGCTGGAGTGAGTGCAGAGAAGGGCAACAAAGCTGGTGGAGGTTCTGGAGCACAAGTTCTGCGAGGAGCTGCTGAGGGAGCTGGGGTTGTTTAGCCTGGAGAAGAGGAGGCTCAGGGGAGACCTCATCACTGTGTACAAGTACCTGCATGGACGTTGTAGCCAGGTGGATGTCGGTCTCTTCTCTCAGGGAACTAGTGACAGGATGGGAGGACACAGTCTTAAGCTGCACCAGGGGAGGGTTAAAGTAGGACCTTAGGAGGAATTTCTTCACAGAAAGAGTGATTAAAGATTGGAATGGCCTGCCCAAGGAGGAGGTAGAGTCACTGACCCTGAAGGTGTTTAAAGAAAGACTGGACGTGGCACTTAATGACATAGTGGAGTTGACACGGTGATGTTCAGTTATTGCTTGGACTGAATGATCTCAGAGGTCTTTTCCAACCTAATTGATTCTGTGATTCTGTGATTCTCTTGACAGGAGCATGCTGCTATTGTGAGAGAAAAGCTCAGCCCAAGGTTCCCCTCACCAGTGTGCAGACAGCCTATGGCAGCAGGTCACAGAGACAACCTAGGGCAGCAGAACTCACAGGGACCTGATATAGAGGAGGGTGAAAAGGAGAGAAAAACAAGTCTCATCCATAGTCAAGCAATGCCTGCGGCAGACCAGCCTTTTTTTCCCTCTGTGATGGGGCACGTGTTGAAATGGGTTTAAGTTTCACTGGACTATAAGAGTGCACAGGGTCTGTTGCAACAGTTTCACAGCTGGAGTAGTTATCAATAACTGACAGGAGAGCAGGGAGCTCGTACGGGCTTCTCTCCTTCACTTCCTTCTGCTTCTCTCTTGCCTTGTGTGCAGCTCCTGCAGACCTAGCTGTCATTGCAGGACTTGGATCAGTCTGCAGGCCTGGATTTGCTCTAGTGTATACTCACTGAAGGAGGAGCTTGTCTTGTAGTTTCTCCTCCAATGCCTAAGGCTTCATGTACTGACAAAGGCACAGCAACCAAGGGACACTCACATTCAACTCACTTGCCTGAGGGCCATTCGGAAAACAGACCAAACTTCCAGCACTCGGAGTTGCTCTGGAGAGCTGAGTCTAGGGGAGGCTATTTCTCTCCATCAGCAACAGAGGGAGCTGAAGAAAGGTTGAATGAGCTTTTAGTGTGCTGACTCCTGCTTCAAGCAATGCTAGGGGAAATTGGGAAAGGGTTTGCAGGTTGCATGTCCAAGAAGAACTTCCCAGAAGATGTAGGGATCTAAACACAGTTGACCCCTTGATTAATAATTGAAATATTTAGAGACTAAGTGAAACATGCTGCTTAGTGTTCAGGATATGTTCCTATGATGTTGGTCAGAAAGTGCAGTCCTGTTTTCTGCTAAGTAGAATACCAGAGCTTTTCAACAGCAGAATACCAGAGCTTTTGAATAATGCATGCACATGTCTAGGGAATTCAGGTTCTAAGACAGTGTGAAGTCTTTCCTTCTTCAGTTTCTAGAACAGAAAGTCCTGCATGCTGCCGCTATTAGCAGTGGTGAAAGCCTGTATGGTTCTGTGAAATCAGATATTAATTTCCTATGGGGTATGATCCTGTGTAACTAGTCAATAAATCTAAGGCTGGACATGAGCTGCAGTAGTAAACAGGCATTCTTTATACAGGGAGTGATCAATCTGACTTTTTTTAGACACCTCTTTTAGGATAAGATGAATAGTACTGTAGAAATGTCTCTTTATCTTCACTGACAAAAGAAAAGCAGGTGACTGGTTCAGATGTCAGTATTTGCATTGTCCCACTTAGTGTGTCAAACCTGCTTTTAGAGTACTGCTATTTTACAATCAGTGTTATTCTGAAAAGTACTTGACAAATATCGCTGTACATGTTTTTTTTTAAGGAATTCTTTCAGTTAAAATTGTTTATCCAGTAAATCCCAGGTGTCTAAGAAACACTCTGTCATGAAAACTCTTGTGACTTTACCCAGCAGTCATGCTGCAATAGGTTTGGAAGGAAGGAATAACAGGAGAGCTGAAATAGAAAAGAAACAGGTGAATAATGCAGCATTCAAATACACAGGTAGGATATTTGTTTTTCTGATGTGTTTTTTACCTTGTCTGTGGCCTGGAATATGTTATGAGGATAATACCTTGTTGACATGGACAACAGCAACACAAGAAGGTCAATTTAGGAAACATCTGTTGCAGGAAAGTCAGGAGCAATTTGTTTGTCATTTATTTGATTCAGGTT